AAAAGAAACAATTTCAACCTCGCCACCAAAATGAAACATTTCATTTCACCTGAAGTTTCCACTTTTGAGGCTTGAGTTGTTTATAAATTAAACGTAGGTGAATTTAGAACAGAATTTTAACTCATACTCCAGGCTCAGAATTCTCTTCTTACCTAACCCAAAAGGAAACAGATGAAGGCCTCTGGTACAGATTCAGTTCTCGCAAATAGTTCATTTAAGCCCATCCTAGCCATAGTCTGTCCCACCAACCTATTTCAAAGGACACCAGAGTACGGGGCCTTTCAGTGAATACGTGAAGACCCACACAGACACAACCACAGAAACTTGGCTCTTGCCAGCCCTCATTGCACTGCAACAACCCCCACTGAACTCCAAATATCAAGATGCTTTTGCATTTCTTCTCTTTCAGGCTTGAACCTGAACTCAAACCCAAGCGCAGGCCAGCAGGTCCTCAAGCAGTGTCACTTTGGAGATGAGCCATACCAGGCCCTGGTTTCCATTTCCTGGACTTCCTGGAGTCCCTCTCAGGACTTCCAGGCTCTTCAGTCCCCAAGCTTTCTCCTATACCAGCTTCCTTCTCTCATTTGCTCCTGACAGCTCACTAGAGCATCTGCTCTGGACCCACATCACAGTCCCCTTAGGAACAGCGCCAGAGGCTTGACTCTTGCCAGCCTTCACGACATTTTCACAACTCTATTTGGCATCACTCTGGGAATACACTTTGGACTTCTCTTTTTCCAAGGTCTACCCCTAACCCCAGCCCTAGCCCTAGCAGGAAGAGGCAAGAACCGGCCAGCACTTCTCCAACCAGTGACTATTTATTCAGAAACAAGTTAAACCACCGTGGGTTTCCATTTCAGCCCCTGAGGAATGCCAGCCCCTGAGACTCTTCCGTGCCAGTCTCCTGCCCTCACTCTCCCCACAGCTACCCTAAGCTCCTTGGGCTCAGACCCGCATCACACTCCCTCCTAAGTACAACCCCAGAAACTTGGATCTTGCTGGGCCTCATCATACTTTCACAACCCCCATGTGACCACTCCAGGAAGACCTTCCTGCATTTCTACTTTCCAAGGCTTCAATCTCTCCCCTCCTTGCCATATATTACCTAAGAGCTGTAACGCTAGGAGTAGAGATGAAAGCTGTAAAATGAACAATTTAAAGGTGCTCCTGGTTAGCATCCTTCCCAGTCTGTTTTGCTGAATGCATCTTTGTTTAGCATCTTTTATTTTCTTTTGGCTGAAATTCTGTAAGCTGATGTGTTCTTTAGTCATATAAACCCCTTCTGGCTTAATCTGTATAAATTGAGATTTTAGGCGTACATTTTGATGAAACTACCTTAGTATTCCTGGTGTCTTTATCATATATAGTTTGAGGGCATCCCCAGTGGCCCAGTTACAGGCCTTATTCCACTATGGAGAGTGAATTGTTACGTAAGCCCATATGACCCCATTACAACGTTCAAAAGTGCTGTCAGTGAACAGAAGAGCTGTTCTCATTTTTGTTGCGACGCTCTCTATTTGCCATACATGTATATACAGTATGAAGTCTCAACTCCTTTGGAACTAATTTAGTTTGAATGATCTGTTAAGATTTAGGCATGTTTTCAGCATTCTATTCAGTTTGTGTTGTCAGCATAAATCATAATAGCTCCTTTACGATAAACCATGTCAATGCATATTAAAAATCACATGCATTTGTATATTATAAGTAGAATAAAAATCTTAACACTAAGTAATAACAACTCGCCGCAGTTAAGCTGTTTTAAAAACTTCAGTGAAAAGTTCTTTCTCTTTTACATAAAGGGCCTATCCAAACTTCACTTCTAAAAGTGAAAATAATGTCAGTGAGTAGATTCTTCTGAGTTACAGGAGCACTTAAACAATACTGGTGACAGCAAACTATTAAATTTATTCACTACTTTTCGATTCAAGTGCTACTTCAGCTAAATTCCATCCCAGACTAGTCCTCAACACTAGGCTGGCAAAGCATTTATACACCTAGGCCATTAACTAGAGTACAGAATTGATCCAGCAGAAGAATAGCTCTGGAAAAAAGAACAGGAAATTAGACACAAGAGGGTGCTTAAGTCATCACTGCTGTCAATTTTTTTTGTCATACTACACCCTCAGTTAGGCAGATTCTTCAGAACCATTTGAGCCAAGTTTCAGATGGAGCAAGCTTTTTTAGATGAGCAGTAAATCCCTGAAAAGATGGATTTATAACTGGGACACTGTCACAGCCCTAGCTACAGCACTGCTACTGGGTGCTGCTATGATCACATTAGATTATATTATGGATGGCAAAGAAGGTTTTGTGAGCCTGACCATTGTGACTACCTAATTTATAGTGTTCTTGTCAGGAAGAAATCAAATTTCACAGTTATGACATTTCTTTCTGGAGCACTAAATGTTAACTTTGCTGATCATGCATATTTTGGTAGAACAGCTTATTTCTAAATGGCATACGTGATATAAAAAGCATAATGACTTCACTGAAAACCTTTATAAAGCAGCTGATTCTCATACCTATAGAAAACAGGCCAAGTGGTGTTTTAGTCATCAGAGTATGGAAATAGACAGATATTTAATATATTCAATTCATTTTTCCCATTTTAAGTAACCTCATAATGTCATAATTACACTATATCTAAAACAGTCTTTTTTGTATTTATTATATGAACTTAAATACTGTTGCCATGTAATAAAAATCATATTGTTGATGGATAACAGCAGCAGCAACACTTTTACAGGTTTCCTTTTGTACAAGGATTTAATTTTAATTGATAGTCATTCAGAACTAGATGATTGTACACATGGGAAGGAAAGGACAAAGGAAGCCTTACACTGTAATAAAATTAATCTACAGTTTCAGCACTCAGAACAAATGAGAGAAAGATACAGCATCACTTGCCAGGTGAGAGCAACAGAGCACTGGATGCATGCTGCACCTCTCTCGCACTAGCTCCCGTTGCACTCTCCTCTGCATCATGCAGGCATAATTCCCACTAGAACGCTGGTAAAATCTGCTGTTGCTGTGGAGATGCTCTGTACGCTCTATTGCAGGTGCTGAAGAAAGCTTCACTAACATAAGCAAGAGCCTGCCAAAGACCGTGCTTTAAATGTAACTGCTTGCAAAAACTGTAAGATATATAACAAACAACAAGCATGATTTACAAGTATATATTTAATCTTCATTTAGACATACTGATAGCACTTAAATTATAATGAAATCTTATGAAGTTATTTGCTACTAGAAATATTCTAATCTTGTATTTAAGTTATGGTTTTCTCAATAGGTCACTGGAACAGCTAAAGACAAGGTTACTTAATGAAACTAATGGAACCTCAATTAATTTCTAACAACTCTGTGTCTTGTATTAACCATTGGGCAGTTAGATATCAGAGATATCAGACTTTTCCACCACCCATTCAACAACTGTGCAGACACACTGAAGAGAAGTTTTTAAAGACCTAAATCCTAAGTGGTCACTAACTGGGGGGAAAAAAAAAAACCAAAAACTGTTTTTACCAGCCTCCTAGAATCCAATAACAACAAAATGTAAACAAAATCAAAGTATTAAGACAACATTTGCCCTAATTTGGAAGTGGACTATCAATAAAGAAGAAAAACAACATGAGACAAGTTTAGAGATGCTCAGGACCAGGAAAATGACCACAAGAAAATTGAAGATCTGAAGACCTCTAGAACCTCAGCAACAGAGAGATGTTTTATTTTATGCTCCTGTAATTGGATGCAACAGATTTGCTTGCTTCCTTGAAAATATGTTCATATCAATAAACAGAAGTATGAATAACAAACATGTGGCTGAGAACTACTATTTTCTTCCTCTGCTGGGTGGAGAAACAAAATTGTCTGTGGTGGTAGGTTGTGACAATAAAAAGTACAATGCAATCCTGATTAACTAATTCTCACATCTCTGTAATATTAAACTGTGCTTCAGTAACTTTCCCAATGATAAAATAAAGATATTTTACCGTTAAGATGATGTATGACAAAGACAGAAGAGATTCAGTTCAGTAAGTCAGTGAAAGTCATGGGAATAAAACAACTCAGAACTTTTGAATTAGGGATAGGGATGAATTAGTGTTTAGGAGCAAAGTCAAAATAAAAAGACATCTACTTTCCCAGTTCTATTTACATAGAACTCCTATATTTAAAAATATACAGAAAAATGGACTAAGATTATTATCCCACAACATTGACAAAATTTTGTTTTGCCAACAAGAAACAGGCAAGTAGTGTCGAGATATATGCAAAAGTTAGACTGATAAAACTTTCAATTTTTGCTCAAAAAAAAGGGCAGATAGTGTTTCAGAGAATCCCACAGGAATTTAGAGTATCCCATCCTTTACATGCAGTATTCCTAATCTCTTTCCACTTCAAAAATTTGTCTCAACATATTTTTGGTATGTGACAGGACTTCAGCTCCCAACGCAGATACGAAATTTTGTTAACAAACTATTAGCAAGGGAATATAGGAGGCCCTTTGAAAGCCTAAACACATTTTATCCGTCCAGAAACAAACGTAGGCCTGGCTACTGCATACTATAATCAATAAGGTACTTCCAATGATTTTCTTGGCTGTTATCCTGTTCTAGAAGGGTACCGCACCAGAGTTTCTGGTATCTTCTATAGCATTTTCTTTTAAGTATAACGTTAAAGTTTGATTTTAAACAGCAATTTAGAATAGCTTTTGACCTTTAATAGATTTAGGACTGCTTATTTACCTTGCATCTAGTGAGTGTTAAAATATCTGTTTTTAATTACATTACACATTTGTAGATAGAGCACAGCATCTTACTTCTTTAACTTGATTGTTCTTATATGTTCTTATTTGCTCAAACAGGAACAGCGGACTAGGTGCACTAGAGGGGGTATAAGCTCATAGCCTTTATGTTCCCCCAAAGGGTCACCGTGAAGGTTTTTCTTAGCCACAAAAAACTTTTTTTTTTTCCCTAAGTTTCATGGGTGACTCTTACCTTTATAACAGAGGCCCCTGCCCTGGAAAGAGGACTGTGCATTTGGGCTGCTGCAGCCATGTTAGCTATCGTATTGAGGTGGTTCATCTGATTCATTGCCATTGCAACTGAAGCAGGAGGTAGGCTGACGGGAAGCAGAGGGTGCGGCATCATCATAAATGGCAGATCTATCCCTAAAAGAGAGCACGGACAGGTTAAATAAGTCAATCTCTCATTCTAAAATCCAACTCCTAAATTTTTAGAGACTACACTGACTTTCAAACTCATCATTACTATGTGTTAATAATTTACAAGTTATATAGGGAATAACTGTCTGCATTCCAGAAAAGGCTATATAGCTTATATATGAAAAAACATATAGCTGTAAAGCAACAAACAATATTAACAAAATGAATATAAAACAGTGTACAAGTTCAGGGATCTCTATATTGGTAGCTTTACAACAAAAGTCACAAGCCAAGCACAAATTTGTGAAGATATTTATAAAAAGACTGACAGACTATTAATTAATAATTTTATTTGCCAATGTACTTCTACTAAGTGCTTTTACCATTATTAGTTCACATACACAACAATCTGACACTAGATTTTGAAATTTAGTTTTTATATTATGACTACTCCTTGAAGATAGGAAGCTGTGGATTGGATTACACAGTACTAGTGCCATACCATACAGTCTGTGAACTGGAATATGGAATGAGAACCCACAATTCCAGATTAGATTTTCATTTCAAAAAACACCATCTCAAATTGTCGTCCACTAAGTATAAATATCTATTTAAGAAAGTATGCACTGCATTTGCGCCCACATGCAGATCCTGACATTGCCAGAATGGCGATGCTACCGTTAGCAAGAATCAGATTCCAGAACTTGTGTTTCATTAATATCTATTTCAGCATGTGTATTACTTGTCATATTTACTAATGACTACAGTACAAAGCAAGAGAAATAAACCAATCCACTGAGAAACCACTTCAGGTGTGTTTGCATTTAAGAATTCTTTAGAGAGTCTACTTGAAGATATCTACCTTTGGGCACCCACAATTATTTTTTTCAGCAAAACCAGAACTCATTCTGCCAGTCAAAATGCCTTATAATTCTTCTAAATGAAATATAGATTAGAAATTCTCACCACAAACTTGAGGTGCAAGTGGTAAATAGCATAATTATATAGCCAGTCATAACTATGTGCTATGCATATTAATTATTTCTACCTTTTTTTCCCACTTTTGGTTCTATCTTAATCATTATAAATCAAGAGAGTCAGTCACCATTTTTCTATATGATAGAACCTACAAAAAAAAAATCATTGACTGGTACAGTTTATGTTATTCCAATACAATGTATTGATTAAACAGATATAAAAAGCACCACTGCGCCCACCACAAAAGGCAGGATTGAATATACTCTGAGCTTCCGCACTACTTCTGTTTAGCCTGAGTATATTACAGTCACCTACTGTGACGTCCTGTGATTCACTATATTTTGCTTATAGAATGATCCATGGCAATATTAATTATGATAGGTAATAAAAAAAGCCCACACGCATCTCCCTTCACTTTAAACCACACTAACAATCCTCTTCAGTGCTTACATACATGAGCCTTTGTTCCCCTGCGTATCTCCCTTCACAGCCCAATAATCACTCCTCATACTCCATAGAGTTCCAAAACTCCCAGACACCATCTGTCCACATTGAGTTGTATGTCTACTTAAAAGTCCAATTGACATGCAAACTAAATGCAAACTACAAACAGAATTTAACAGCACATCACCAGTTTTAAGACACAATCCGTCAAACATTTCAGAGGACTATGAGGAAAATATATCTTACACTTGCAAATCATCGGACATAATGTCTGACATTCAATAAACCCTTTAATAGCGTATAGACATTTGCCTAGTATAAAATCTACTGGAAAATATCCTGAAAGTTTTCTCAAACAGCAGAGAACACAATATCCCTATATGTAAGACATGTACAAATACCACATTATGTAAGAATATAAAAGCAAAGAATAAACTATAGTGAATATGAGTCTTATAGGCAGGTAACCGTTAATCACTGGTACCTAAGCAGAGGCCAGAAATGGTCAGGCCCCTACCTTCCCATGAGCAATGCAAATACATATTGCAGGAGGCATTCCAATTGCCCTGATTTCTTCATGTCTGGGGCCCTGCACAGGTAGCAAGAAAATATCTGCTCCTAAAATTTTAGAGGAGCCAGAAGTGTCATTATCTGGAAAACTAACACCAAAAAACAACTTTCAAAACTTCAAGGATTTCAAACAAATATCATGGATTCAAAAACAGCGTGACGTTTTTCATTCTTCATCCACCATCTTTTAGAATTAATTTTATTCTTAACTAGTTTTTAAATATTAATTCATTTTTGTAGTATCCCAAACATCTTTTTTTGTAATAATTTCCCCTTCCTTCCCCCTTTGGGTATAAAGGAGAAAGGGAACTCTTGACCTCCCCTCTCCTCCCTTTCCAAAGGAAGAGAAGAGGGGTTTGAAGGGACATCCAAACTTTTAAGTGTGTCATTTCTGTTCCATTTGCTGGGTGCAGCAGGTGGCCTCGCATACAACTGGCAGGTACAAGACAAAATAAAGCAGAGGAACTGCTTCTGCTTGCTTTTAACAAGCCATTTTGCTCTTATTCCTTATTCACCTGTACGTATGTATTTGGTAGCCAGCATTTTCATCTGGAAGGGAATTTTCTCATCTACTTATACGTTTAAGGAATTGTTTGTTTGCTTTTTTTTTTTTCCTTTCGTCCAGGCCATGCAAACGTGGATTGGAGACTAGCAGTTCCTACTGCAGGAATGGGTGGCCATTCAAAGGGAAATGGTGTATCCCCCGGCCATTCAAAGGGAACTGGTGGCCATTCAAAGGGACTGGTGTATCCCCCGGGCTGAACGGACGTGATGCACACGTGCATTCCCCGCTGCAACACCCGGGGGAGGACTGACCTCACATCCCATTCATGTCCCCTCTGGGTTTGTGGGAGGGCCAGGGTCCTCCCACCACCCAGCTACCCCTTCTGAGTGCTCAGGCCTGCACTGGGACACCCCCACAGATACACTGTGGACTGATTAACATCTGTTTGAAACCATGCTCTGATGGACGCGTATATTCCTTGGTTTCCATGCCCGCCTCCACAACCTTGGAGCTCTTCTGAGGCATGGAGCTCTTCTGAGACCCTGTTCCAGCACTTTACAGTGGAACACTCCATTTCTCAGTTAGCAACCAAAACTCATCAGAGCTCTTTTATCCTCCATAACCAAAGAGCCTAAGTAAGCATCTTCATGTAATGTTTTTTTCCACATGGTACATACTGTTGGTGAGCAGGTGATTCTGCTGGAGAGGACTGAGTGGATGGGCACTTCCAAGGCTTGACTGCCCCGACAGTGTGGGATGGCCAATGCTGTGCTGTGATCCTGTTGTAATGGGAGACTGAAGTTTCTCTTTATCCCAGGAGGATTCACTCCCACCTGCAAAACAGGGTATGAAGGGATTGTAAATAGCATATTCCTTTCTTAAAGACATTTTGCTTGGTTAGCAACAAATTAATACTCTTCAACAAAGCTAAGAATCTAGCACAAAAAGTACCCAAAACCTACACGTGAAAAAAAGTTAAAAGTCAGGCAAAAAGTATGATCAGAAACCTTCAGCATCATCTACCTTCATAACAATGCTTTCTGGAAACAGAAAAAGTTGAAAGGTTAAGGATAAAACGATCCAGGTAAACATCAGCCACTATGAAGTACGGCAGAAAAGGGAACTTCTGAGTCTCTGAGTTACAGTCTCCTGCTATCACAGGTAATCAAGCCATATGGTCCTTCCACAAGCTAGTCAGCTTCCATCTTAGAGCTACTCACATTTCTTACCTCTGTTAATCCTGCTGGAAGGCTGCTGCAGTATTCACTGTTTAGAGCTCTGCTAACCGCCAACTTAACATTACACCGTGAACATGTTATAACAATTTATTCTTCTGTTAATGCTATCTTTGAGCTTAAGTAGCTTTTCCTTCTCTGCTGGGTTTGGTCCTTGGGCTGTCCAAAGTGAAAACCTTCACTTTGGTAGGTTAAAAAAGCCAGGCGTCAGGTAAGACTCCAGGACAGGGCCTAGAAACTATTATTCTTCAGGAATTGAAATTGAGAGTTCAGATATCTACTATGCACAGTAATTACTGTCTAAAAGAGAAACAAACTATTTCAAACTAAACTCTAATCTGTTTGGTCTAGACTATCTATCTGGTCTTCCGAAGAGACTGTTCTGCAACAATTTTATAGTTGCCTTTAGTATTAAATTTATACAGATGAATAAAAACAAGTTCCTTTTAAAAAGCAGTTAAGTAGAGCATGATAGTGAATTCTGAAATAGATCTGGTCCGCAAAACAAACCAACTTAAAAAAATAGGCTGAACATTCCTGGAGCAAAAAAGTGTTCTAGATACCCTCCTTTTCTCAGGTATGTCACATATTTTAAACTAGATTGCAGACCGTTATGAAAATGTGTAACGGCAGTGTTGACTTTGTTTTGAATTTATGAACAATAATTTCAATTAGAATAAGTAACAGAATACTGTGATGCAGCAGGTAGAGGCAGCAAGCAAAAAACATTTTAATTGAAGGTGAATGTAGCAGAAACATTCAACATTCTTTATGACAAGACTTGGCTAATAAACATGATTAATACTGCTAAATGCAAAAGTTTGAAAGATCAATGACTGAGAAAAAGCAAATTACTCCATCATTTTAGCGCTATGTCCAAGTATGAGTTACCACCCTATAAAAGATTTGTAATTTGAAAAATGATGAGTAATACAAAGAAAGATACACTGAATTATGCCATATGATATAATATACCATGGCATAGTGTGGCAATCAAAAGCACTACTATGGCACTACTGAATACTGGTGCCAACATTTTTATTATAAATTTAATATACTGTATACTACTCTTTCAATACTTGACTGATGCTTAATATTCAAGTTATTCACTATGACTATTGTGAAATACAGGTACTGCTATTCGGTAAAATATTTCTCAAATAAAACCTATAATAACATAACAATTGGCTGAGAAAATGTTTGGTATCCAAACTTCTCAAATAACTTTTGTTTTTCTTCAGATGCTTTTTCAGTGAATTTGAATTTAATATTTACATATTAAACCTTTTTTTTTTCCTGAAAATATGCATCACATACACCATGGCATAAATATTTTGCTTAGAAGTAGATTCTGTATGTGAGATAACTTCACATATTAGGGCAGCAGCCATGAAAACTGCACAAGGTTTGTCACAGAGATCTTTGAAGGAAGAGAAAAAATGGCACTCCTCATCTGAAAGTTTCACTCACCCTGTGGTCATCTACAGTAATCTTCCAGTCCCAGGCACACATAAGCTAAACTACTCATTTACTCATTACAAGTTACTCATATACTTATTTCTAGACATTTCTCTTGGCTTTCCAAAAACCTCACTTATCTATCTATCATATCTGTGTGGCCCCTAAGCTGCAATATCAGAGTGGCCTACCAGCTTTCTGTGCTCAGTTGCACGACTGTTGCATGCTCTACATGAAGTTCTAATATTCCTATTTTATAGACCAAGAATTGCACTGTGAAGAAAACTGATTTGCCTAAGGTCATACAGGAAACCTGCAATGGAAAGGAAACTGAATCTAGGTTATATCCTGTAGTCCAAATCACTGGACTAGTTTTCCTTACAAATGCAGACAATAATAACTTCTTGCCCTGCAAATTCCACGCATAAATCTGTTCTCGTATTCAGTGCCAGCAACACAAGAATAAATTGCAATACACTTATCTCTGCAGTCCATTCCTGTTCCCTATCACTTCTCCTTAGAGAAAGAAAAAAAAATACTTCTGAGAGTATCCACGTATAACAAAAGTGCATGTTAAATGAAATGTATCGCATAGTCTGCAATATACCTCATAGATAATATAATACAGGTTATGGCATCCATCTACGTAGTGGGTAAATCACTGAAAATGAAAATAATAATTAGAACTAGCCCTTTCCTAGCGCTGCTCAATAGTGAGGTATTTCATAAGGGCAGCAGGATTAATTATCCCTAACTTACAAGCGGGAAAAGTTGAGGTGCAGAATTATGAAGCCCTGTAGAACTTGCAGACTAATGGTGAAACCTCAAGAGAGTCAGGTACCACAGCTCCTGCTCTGGAGCTGTATCCAATAGATACAGTCAATCCATCCTGCCCACAGTGAGGTGCAGAACAGAACTTTCTGTGCACAGCTAAAGATAACAGATTTAAAGGAAAATCTGTATCCTTCCCTGCAGTTCCTATTTCCATATAGTATGAAAAAATTACAAATAAATTAATAGCAAGCCAGAACTATAATAACATTATAAGCAAAATATGTAAAACGCAAACTGTTGACAATATATTAAATTCTTTTAATATCATGCATCTTTCAAAACCATTTATTCATTTTTGTGCATATACAGTGTCTTAATAAGCCAATTGCGAGCACTGACATCAGCAAACACATACTTACATATATACGTTAATTTGTATTTTCAAATTCTTTGTTACTGTACTACATCCTGTCTTTGGTACCATAAGCTTACAGGTGAAAGTACAAATGAAACTTTATGACAAGAAACATACAACATGGGATAGGGAAATAAATGTATATGAGTCAGGAAAGTTTGATTTTTTTCTCTCATTACATTCAAAAAGTTTGGTGTTTGAAAAATCTTACACTAGGAAAAAACGAATTTCTTTGCCCCTCTTAAGCTAGTGAAGGCTCTCATTGTTTATAAGACAGTAGATAAGGAGTTTAAAATAAATAATGAACCATATTACTGTATAGAGAAAGATGGACTTCAAGCAATGTCTCTTAGGTATGTATGAAGCAAGAGGAGAGAGAGGGAAAAATATATGAAAAAAGAAAGCCAACACACAACACTGAAAGGAAAATCGGGCAACAGAAAAGAGCAACGCAACTTAGGTTATGTCTAACGTATGAAGGAAAATACAACTTTTCATTTATTTCAAAGGAGAAAGAAGATTTCATTTAAAAACATTAGTAAGTTGAATTCTTAAGTGTTGCTAGAATATTTTTCAAGTATGCTGACTTGTCCAAATGCCAGTACATCACTTACATACTTTACAAAAGCTTTACGTTTACACTATCACTCGCTGCCCATATGACCTTCTCTCCAACAGATAAAACTAAAGGACAAAAAGGTAATTTTTCCTTATCTTGTTTGCATTCTAGTCGATCTTGTACTTGAACAGATTGTACTCAGCGCTAAAAAAGGGCAAGAGAGACGAGAACTCCATCTCGGAGAGCTGCTGAAGCTTGTCCCAGTCGCAGGCCCCCACACAGAAGAAAGCGCAGGGACTGCTGTTTCCTTAAATATAGCAACTCTTAAAGCCGGAAGAAAAAGGCAGAGATACCAGCTGTGGAGCTGCGGTAAAAGAATGTGTTGGCAACCCTGTAGAAGCATTAAAAAAAGTCTGACCTGCTTCAGCTGCCCCACCACACAGAAAACGTGGGATGCACAGCTCCTATTATTACGTTTAGATTTGCAGCTCAATGCACAATATGAATGAAAGCAGGCCTTCTGACTGTATGCACTGTACGCGCCCGTGTACAACGAAATGTCGTGCATGCTTCTAAGGGCACAGAGGAAGAGTGAAGCTAAACGGATTTGGTAAGAAGAAGAGATATTTACAATATATTTAATAATTAAAGCCTGGCATTTAGCAGTCTTAACAGGTTATCTGAAAGAACTGACTTATCAGTGCATGAATTACACTTATGTTCAACTAAGCAAAAGCAAAATTAATGCAACAAACTCCAGTCTGTTCACTTCTAAATTACAGTGCTGTGAGAAGTAAGCATTCCCTTAAAACCGTTTTACAGCCAAATTGTGTGTGTCACTGTTCCTGTCCTTTCTACCGGGAATTCAGATGAGTTCGGATGTAGAGGGAATTAAATCACAGGTAGCACAAACAGATCTGGCAAATCAGCCTAAGCAATATATGCACATTCTGCTGATAATACCCACTGTACTCACAGCTCTAGCATACACTTGCAGGGTTATTTACAATCACGTTCAGGTTTGTAAGCAGAGAGACTCTGTTTAAGTTTCATTTTGTTTAGCTGAAGAAAATGAAAGTGATAAGCTTGGCCTCATTTCTCTGAAAATGCTGCTACTCACATATCTGTAGCTTTGGTAATTTTAAAACATACTGTTAAAGCTAAATGTTTTCCAGGAGTCAACCTCTCTGAGTATGTGCTCTTCAAAACAAATCTGAACAACTTTTTTGGTGAAGATATATTTGTGAAGATTAAATTAACGTCTTAGTTTTATGTATTGAAAGATCTCCAGAAAGTAATCAAAGTTCAATTTGGTGACAGTTTCTTTTCATTTGGTTTCAAATGCATTTTATCAGCCTTAAAACTGTGAGGTCTACCTAAATGAAATCCACT